CGGTAGTCTAGACTGCTGATGCTTACTATATTGTACTCACATGCTCAAGGAAGGGCAGATAAACTGTGTACGTGTTAAGTTTTTTTTTGTTTGTTTGTCTGTTTGTTTTGTTTTTATTTTAAGTTCTGGGATACATATACAGAATGTGTAGGTTTGTTACATAGGTATACATATACCATGGTGGTTTGCTGCACCTATTAACCTGTCATCTAGGTTTTAAGCCTTGCATGCATTACATGTTTGTCCTAATGCTCTCCCTCCCCATTCCCCCAACCCCTGACAGGCTCTGGTGTGTGATGTTCCCTCCCTGTGCCCATGTGTTCTCATTGTTCAACTCCCACTTATGAGTGAGAACATGCTGTGTTTGGGTTTCTGTTCCTGTGTCAGTTTGCTGAAAATTTTAAATTCTCTGGAGCATTTTGTCTATCCTGGTTATGATGAATCACATCTTTCCCCCCCTTTTTAAATTGTACTTTAGGTTCTAGGGTACATGTGCAGATCATGCAGGATTGTTGCATAGGTACATACATGGCAAGGTAGTTTGCTGCCTTCATCTTCCCATCACCTATATCTGGTATTTCTCCCCACATTATCCCTCCTCACCATCCCCTACCCCACTGTCCTTCCCCTAACTGCCCCCCTCACCCACTGACTGCAGTGTGTGATGTTCCCCTCCCTGTGTCCATGTGTTCTCGTTGTTCAACACCTGCCCATGAGTGATAACATATGGTGTTCGGTTTTCTATTCTTGTGTCAGTTTGCTGAGAATGATGGTTTCCAGATTCATCCATGTCCCTATAAGGGACATGAACTCATCATTTTTTATGGCTGCGTAGTATTCCATGGTGTATATGTGCCACATTTTCTTTATCCAGTCTATCAATGGTGGACACTTGGGCTCGTTCCAGGTCTTTGCTATTGTAAACAGTACCACAATGAACATATGTGCGCAAGTGTCTTTATTATAGCACAATTTATAAGTATTCAGGTATATACCCAGTAATGGGATTGCTGGGACAAACGGTATTTCTATTTCTAGGTCCTTGAGGAATTACCACACTGTCTTCCACAATGGTTGAACTAATTTGCACTCCCACCATCAGTGTAAAAGTGTTCCTATTTCTCCACATCCTCTCCAGCATCTGTTGTCTCCAGATTTTTTAATGATTGCCTTTCTAACTGGCATGAGATGGTATCTCAATATGGTTTTGGTTTGCATTTCTCTAATAATCACTGATAATGAGCATTTTTTCATGTTCGTTGGCTTGTCTTCTTTTGTAAAGTGTCTGTTCATATCTTTCACCCACTTTTGAATGTGTGTGTTTGTTTTTTTTTCTTGTAAATCTGTTTAGTTCTTTGTAGATTCTGAATATTAGCCCTTTGTCAGATGGGTAGATTGCAAAAACTTTTTCCCGCTCCTTGAAGAGGTCCTTTACACCCTTTGTTAGTTGTATTCCTAGGTATTTTATTTTATTCTCTTTGTAGCAATTGTGAATGGGAGTTCATTTTTGATTTGGCTCTCTGTTTGTCTGTTATTGGTGTATAGTAATGCTTGGGATTTCTGCACATTGATTTTGTAACGTGAGACTTCGCTGAAGTTGCTTATCAGTGTAAGGAAATTTGGGGCTGAGACACTGGGGTCTTCTAAATATACAATCATGTCATCTGCAAATAAAGACAATTTGGCTTTCTCTTTTCCTAATTGAATACTCTTTATTTCTTTTGCTTGCCTGATTGCTCTGGCTATAACTTCCAATACTATATTGAATAGGAGTGGTGAAAGAGGGCATCCTTGTCTTGTGCCAGATTTCAAAGGGAATGCTTCCAGTTTTTGCCTGTTCAGTATGATATTGGCTGTGTGTTTGTCATAAATAGCTTTTATTATTTTATTATTTTGTGATATGTACCATTGATACCTAGTTTATTGAGCGTTTTTAGGATAAACTGTTGCTGAATTTTGTCGAAGACCTTTTCTGCATCTATTGAGATATTCATGTGGTTTTTGTCTTTGGTTCTATGTGATGGATTACATTTATACACTTGCATATGTTGAATCAGCCTTGCATCCCTGAGATGAAGCCTACTTGGTCATGACGAATAAACTTTTTGATGTGCTGTTGCAATCGGTTTGCCAGTATTTTCCTGAAGATTTTTGCGTCGATGTTCATCATGGAAATTGGCCTGAAGTTTGCTTTTATAGTTGTGTCTCTGCCTGGTTTTGGTATTAGGATGATGTTGGTCTCATAAAATGAGGTGGGGAGGATTCCCTCTTTCTGTATTGTTTGGAATAGTTTCAGAAGGAATGGTAACAGCTCCTCTTTGTACGTCTGGTAGAAATCGGCTGTAAACCCGTCTGGACCTGGGCGTTTTTTAGTTGATAGGCTATTAATTGCTGCCTCAACTTCAGCCCTTGTTATTGGTCTATTCAGGGATTCAGCTTCTTCCTGGTTTAGTCTTGGGAGAGTGCAAGTGTCTAGGAATTTATCCATTTCTTCCAGATTTACTGGTTTGTGTGCATAGAGTTGTTTGTAGTAATTTCTGATGGTAGCTTGTATTTCTGTGGAATCAGTGGTGATGTCCCTTTTATTGCTTTTTTTTTTTTTTTTTTTTTTTTTGAGACGGAGTTTTGCCCTTGTTACCCAGGGTGGAGTGCAATGGCGTGATCTCGGCTCACCGCAACCTCCGCCTGCTGGGTTCAGGCAATTCTCCTGCCTCAGCCTCCTGAGTAGCTGGGATTACAGGCATGCGCCACCATGCCCAGCTGATTTTTTGTAATTTAGTAGAGACAGGGTTTCACCATGTTGACCAAGATGGTCTTGATCTCTTGACCTTGTGATCCACCTGCTTCGGCCTCCCAAAGTGCTGGGATTACAGGTGTGAGCCACCACGCCCAGCCCCCCTTTTATTGTTTTTATTGCACCTATTTGAGTCTTCCCTCTTTTTCTTATTAGTTCTGGCTAGCGGTATATTTTGTTGATCTTTTCAAAAAAACAGCTCCTGGATTTGTTGATTTTTTGAAGGGTTTTTTGTGTCTCTATCTCCTTCAGTTCCGCTCTGATCTTAGTTATTTCTTGTCTTCTGCTAGCTTTTGAGTTTTTTTGATCTTGCTCCTCTAACTCTTTCAATTTTGATCATAGGGTGTCAATTTTAGACCTTTTCTTGCTCCTCAAGTGGGCATTTATTCTCTCTAGACACTGCTTTAAATGTGTCCCAGAGATTTTGGTATGCTGTGTCTTCGTTCTTGTTGGATTCAAAGAACATCTTTATTTCTGCCTTCATTTTATTATTTATCCAGTCTACATTCAGGAGGCAGTTGTTCATTTCCATGAAGTTGTGTGGTTTTGAGTTAGTTTCTTAATGCTGAGTTCTAATTTGATTGCACTGTGGTCTGAGAAACTGTTTGTTATGATTTCCATTCTTTTGTATTTGCTGAGGAAAGATTTACTTCCAATTATGTGGTCGATTTTAGAGTAAGTGCAATGTGATGCTGAGAAGCATGTGTATTCTGTGGATTTGGGGTTAAGAGTTCTGTAAATGTCTACTAAGTTTGCTTGGTCCAGATCTGCATTCAAGTCCTGGATTTCCTTGTTGATTTTCTGTCTCGTTGATCTGTCTAATATTGACAGTGGAGTGTTAAAGTCTCCTACTATTATTGTGTGGGAGTCTAAGTCTCTTTGTAGGTCATTAAGGACTTGCATTATGCATCTGGGTGCTCCTGTATTGGGTGTGTATATATTTAGGATAGTTAGCTCTTCTTGTTATATTGATCCTTTTACCATTATGTAACACCCTTCTTTGTCTCTTTTGATTTTTGTTAAAGTCCGTTTTATCAGAGACTAGGATTGCCACCCCTGCTTTTTTTGCTCTTCATTTGCTTGGTAAATCTTCTTCCATCCCTTTGAATCTATGTGTGTCTTTGCACATGAGATGGGTTTCCTGAATACAGCAAACTAATGGTTCTTAGCTTTTTATCCAATTTGCCAGTCTGTGTCTTTTAATTGGGGCATTTAGCCCATTTACATTTAGGGTTAATATTGTTATTTGTGAATTTGGTCCTGCCATTTTGTTACTGGCTGGTTTTCTTGCCTGTTAGTTGACTCAGTTTCTTCATTGCATTTTTGGTCTTAGCCATTTGATTGGCATAATTTCTTCATTGTGTCGTTGGTCTTTACCATTTGGTTCTTTTTTGCAGTGGCTAGTACTAGTTTTTCCTTTCTGTGTTTAGTGCTTCCTTCAGGAGCTCTTGCAGGGCAGGTCTGGTAGTAACAAAATCTCTCAGCAATTGCTCGTCCATGAAAGACTTCCTCTAGCCTTCACTTATGAAGCTTAGTTTGGCTGGATATGAAATTCTAGGTTGAAAATTCTTTTCTTTAAGGATGTTGAATATTGGCCCCCACTCTCTTCTGGCTTTTAGGGTTTCTGCTGAGAGATTCACTGTGAGTCTGATGTGCTTTCCTTTGTGGGTGACTTGACCTTTCTCTCTGGCTGCCCTTGGTATTTTTTCCTTCATTTCAACCCTGGTGAACCTGATGATTATGTGCCTTAGGGTTGTTCTTCTATGGGAGTATCGTTGTGGTGTTCTCTGTATTTCCTGTATTTGAATGTTGGCCTGTCTCACTGGGTTGGGGAAGTTTTCTTGCATATCCTGAAAAGTGTTTTTCAGCTTGGATTCATTCTCCCCGTCACCTTCCGGTACACAGATCAGGTGTAGATTAGGTCTTTTCATGTAATCCCATATTTCTTGAAGGCTTTGTTCATTTCTTTTCACTCCTTGTTCTCTTTTCTTGACTTCTCATTTTATTCCATTGATTTGATCTTCAATCTCTGATATCCTTTCTTCTGCTTGATTTATTCGGCTACTGAAACTTGTGTATGCTTCATGAAGTTCTTGTGCTGTGTTTTTCAGCTCCATCAAGTAATCTATACTCTTCTCTAAGCTGGTTATTCTAGTTAGCATTTCGTCTAACCTTTTTTCAAGGTTTTTAGTTTCTTTGCATTGGGATAGAACATGTTCCTTTAACTCAGAGAAGTTTGTTATTACCCACCTTCTAAAGCCTGTTTCTGTCAATTCATCAAATTCATTCTCCATCCTGCTTTGCTCCCTTGCTGTTGAGCAGTCGTGATATTGTGGTGGGGGAGAGACGGGTCCCCCTGCCGCACAAAGCCTGCAAGGCCGAAAAAACTCTCATTCCAGAGTTAGGCACCCAGAAACTCATTGAGAGAGTGACCAGGAATGATCCAGCTCGGCAGGCCAAAGGGAAGCCAACATTGCAGAAGCTGGTCTAATTTTCCTGAGTAAATAAAAGACGCAGCAGCTCCACTGAATCTGTGACAGCCCAGCAGCATTTCTGCAGGAAGTCAAAGGAAAGGCCGCTTCCCCAAGCAGCTACCTGAGATCAAAACTACATGAATCCAAGATGTGGGAAGAAACCAGCACAAGAAGAATGAAACCATCAAAAACATCTTCCTCTTTCTTCCGTTGAAATCATGGCTCAAGTTCCATCACAGAACTGAGTTCATTTTGTCTTGCATTAAAGGTAGTTGACTTTACCTGCTTCTCTCTCATTTAAACTTTCTAAGGACAGAGACTACATCTGATTTATCTTCACTCAAGAGTGCATGACAGTTTCCATTGTATGAGTTAAACATTGGTAAGAATTCCCTTTACACATATAATTCAAAAATGAAAAATTATATGGTACCAAGTGAAGTTAAAACTGTTAGGTATCATCAGAGTTAGTGTAAAATCCAACTTAAGTACTCAACTTACTCTGATTTAGCATTTGCTGTGTTTATGGTACTGGGAGAGGCATGAGGAATTTAAGCAATGACTAAAACAGTTTCTCTGTGAATCAATAAACTTTATATAGAGAAATAAATCCCTATCAGTGACCTCTGGACAATAACAGTAGAAAGAAGTATGACTGACTCAGCATAACCCCAACAGGCCCTATAGGCTAACCTCTTTCTACAGCAATTAGGCAAGAGCCTGCTTTTTAGGGATATAAAATTATTTGCCACAGTTCCAACCTGGTTCTCCCCATCTCAGTAGACCAAGCTCACTTGTAACCCCATCAACTCTAATACATGGTATACTTCCACTGGGTTTTTGCCTAGGTATACCTAGTAGATTAGTGCACACTTCTCCCCATTTCCCCATTCCAGGTTCAACAGCAATTTCTGCCCCACTCCAGGGTCAAAGAAGAAAGCAGTTCAGATTAAAGTAAGCCAGCTGTAGCCCTAGTGTCAAAAATAAAAATCAAAAAAATGTGTTCTTGATAAAATTAAGTTTTACTCATCTGTAGCCTTTAAGCGCTCTGCTGAGCAACTGGAGGTCATCAGCAACTGCTAGGTCAGCTAGCAGAAGGTCTATAAATGGATGATGTTACTTTGCTGAGTGATTAAAATTAGTATTTGCCTTAGGGCTATGCTGAATAATTACAGTTAATTGAATTACAGAAATGGCTATATATAATATATATTTTTAATACAAACAATGTGCATGGCCATTTTGTTTGGCTTTAAAGCTCCTTGCAATATGATTTTAGTAAATGTGAGGGTTGAAAGTCTTTTATACCTCTAGAGATTCTGGTATGAAAATGTCTCATTTTTTTTTTCTTTTTTCCCAGATTTAGTTCTATGATTTTAACACATTTGAATTTAACCCATGAGGATTCTCTGAATATTTTCATTAGATTACCAAACAATTGCTAAAAAATATAAAGCCATATGTTCTAAATACATACATATGTAGCTAATATTTGTTGGTCAGTTAGTTTGTGCCAGGCCTTATTTTAAATACTTTTTGTGAATCAACTCATCAAATCCTCACATCTCTAGAAGCAAGTACTATTCTTATTTGCACTTTATAGATGAGAAAATATGGCACAGAGAGGTTAAGTAATTTTCTCAAGGCCAAACAACAAGTGAGCTGCAGAGTCAGGGTACTAATCAAGGCGCTCTGGGCTATAGTGTCTGCATCTTAACCACCAGGCTGTATTGCTAACCCTGTGCCAGTTATTGGTTAAATGCTCAATTCTCATAAACCCTATGGATTGACACTACCATTATGATTCTCATTTAATAATGAGGGAGTTGGTCCAACCAAGATGACTCTTCTAGCAAGGGGTTGAACTACACTTTTAAACTCAGTCCAGATATCTTAAATACCACACACTATTGCCTCCTAGAAAAGGTGGTGGTCTTATTTTTTCAATCTTGTATGGCATTAGAGATTAAAGAGATTCTAAAGAAATTAGAAATGATTTACTCAAAGAGTACAGTGGTTATCTGGTCATAATCATCTAAAGTATTTTTAAAATGTTAAGCTAATTACTAGACATTTTTTCCCAAAATACTTAAATACTATTAAGTTACTATTTAATGTCATCATTCTAAAGAACAGAGATCAAAATACTATGCTTAAAAATTAGTATGGGCCAGGTGCAGTGGATTCCACCTGTAATCCCAGCACTTTGGGAGGCCAAGGCAGGAGGATTACTTAAGGCCAGGAGTTGAAGACTGGCTTGGGCAACAGAGCAAGGCTCTGTCTCTACCAAAGTAATAAATAATAATATTAATAACCACGTGTACTAGTGCATGCCTGTAGTCCCAGTTATTTGGGAGGCTGAGGTGGAAGGATCACTTGAGCCCAGGAGCTTGAGGCTTCAGTGAATCATGATCCAACCACTGCACTCTAGCCTGGGCAATAGAGTGAGACCCTTCCTCAAAACAAAACAAAACAAAACAAAACAAAAACAAACAAAAATTAATGTGGTAATTCATCTGTTTGTGCAACTCCACAGAGTAACTACAATGATCTCAAGAGATATGCGAACATTTAAAAAATATAAATTTTAACATATTTTGATTATTCCAAGTGTAAAATGTAGTATTGGGTACAGCAGGTAAGAATATCATAAAACTTTAAACACATCACCACAGTATTAAAAAAACATAATTGTTATATTAGTATAATTTTAATTCTTATTTATATTAGTATTTTGCTAAATGAGAGGATTTGTCATTTGTCTCCGAAAAATTAGTATTAATTTGCTAGCCAAGTTATGATCCAGTAAGATTAAAAATTTATAGAAAAATATAGATGGTTGTTGTTATTTTTGTTTATAAGGACATTCCCACATAAATCTATCCTTTCCTTCTTATCTGAGTTCATATTTAGAGTACTGGTTTCCTTTATCCTTTGTAACCACTATTGCAGGATTTTAAATATCTTGCTAAGAACTGAATGGCAGAGGATAGAGTTCATTACATGAGTATTGTGGCATAAACTTCAGCCAGATGGTTTGTCACTGGTGGCTTATTGTGAGTCAATTATATTTTTATTACCTTTAGGGCCTTTGAACAGTTTGATTTCCACAACGGTCTCCAAAATAGGTCGTCTTCTACGTACATACAGCCGAACGATAGACCCCGCTTCCTTGAGGGCTTCCACTGCCTTACTGTGGGAAACCTCTGACACGTCAACCTCATTCACCCGCAAGATACAATCATTGACCCTGCAAGGAAGGAAAAGAGTCAAGATTCAGAAGTGGCTAGCAGGATTTCTTAAAGAATATTATTATGATCATCTAACCTTAAGAAGTGGGAAAGCAAAGAATCTAAGAAATTTTAAAATACTTAAATTTGGAAGGATACTTCAAATGAAGGAAATCTAGAAAATGTTAAATTCCTCAAGCCTTCTTAGCCTTCTTCCCAGCCACTTTGACCACACTACTGGTCAGGTCCCATCCGAAACTCCAGTCCACTTTGACTGGGACTGCTTCACATGTGGCACACTTAGAAGAGCATGTATTTTAAGGCCTATGTCAGTTATATCATTATTTTAATTGGTTTGACTGACAGTTACAATTTGAGTGGTTCTCAGAGCTTATTACCACGAACTATACAGATATAACAAATATAATTAAAGACTAATTTTCTCAAATTTTTAGTTTTCTAGTTATAAAAGTAGTAAGTAATCATTTTCAAATACGTGAAAAATACAAAAATGTAGAGAGAAGAAAAAATATACTTGACTCAATCATCTAAAATAAACTCCTTAAGTTGGGCGCGGTGGCTCATGCCTGTAATCCCTGTACTCTGGAAGGCCAAGGTGGCTGGATAACCTGAGGTCAGGGGTTTGAGACCAGCCTGACCAGTATGGTGAAACCTCGCCTCTACTAAAAATACAAAAATTAGCTGGGCATGGTGGCATATGCCTGTAGTTCTGGCTGCTTGGGAGCTGAGACAGGAGAATTGCTTGAACCCCGGGAGTGGAGGTTGCAATGAGCCAAGATCGCACCACTATACTCCAGCCTGGGAGTCAGAGTGAGACTCCATCTCAAAAAAAGAAAACAATAAAAATAAAAATAAAATAAAATAAACCTGTTAGCTTTCTGGTAAATGATCTTCCAGTGTTTCCCCACTCTCCTCTCTGCCTCAATTCATCTCATAATATTATAAATACTGAGACTCAGATTTACAAAGTTCAAGGAGAACCTCAGACAGTCCTGTTCCTAGGTGCTTACTTTGAAAACTAAGAACCGCAACAAATTCTACATCAAAATTTCTCTCTTTTTTTTTTTTTTTCATTTTCACACATAAAGGAATAATCTGACATTTCTATAAACTTTTCCAGGTAGTTTAAATTTATGTGGCCATCGACTCCAAATACCATTTATGTTCATGATAATAATTAACGATAACATTAATGATGGTTTACAGCATGGGGCTTGAGAGTACAAAAATTTCTTTCCCTCCCTGTGCATATCCATTCTAGTGTCCCTAATCTCAGATCACCATATTGCTCAGAGTCAAATATGAGGGGCCTCCCTTGCCTGACTCTTCTTTTCCCACCATCACACAGTCAGATCTACCTGCAAGTATTATCTCAGTCCCTCTAGATTTCTTCCTCCTCATTGTTACCACCCTGGTTGAAGTCAATATCGTTTTTCACCTGAACTAACTCCACAAACGCTTACCTAGTCTTCTTGGATTCTCTCTTGTTACTTCTTTTTTTTTTTTTTTTTTTTTTTTTTTTTTTTTTATATTTTTTT